GATGTTAAAATTTCATAAAAGCATGACGCGCTGCTCTTTGGCAATATGATCCAAAGTTAACGTGCCAAGTACATTCTTCGGTAGCGCTTGATGAAACAAGTTCCTCACATATTTTTAATCAGTAAGAAAAAATCATGAAAGCCAAGCCAATTGTTTTCACTCACATGCATCAGTAAAGGACAACGGGCCTTGGAGCAATACTTACTTTCTTCACTCATTATAAAAAATGAGCAGATCCTTTTTGGTGGTTTGAAAATCGACTGACTGGCTTATGATGATAAATGGTTAGTGTCATTTTGATCGTTTTAAGCAATCTGTTAAGTCCGCACTTTACACTTCTAAGGCATGTACAATTCCCCTAAGCTTAATGGATTGTGCACCCGATTCAGCGTCATGGATTTCTTTTTGAATTCCGAATAATGGTTGCCAATGAAATTAATTTACTCGATATGCAATAACTTGCTGTTGCTTAAAGGTGTTTAAGGACAAATCCCCATGCTTCTCCCTTCTGAACAGTCAGAAATTCATACAAATATGTGCTGTTCAGTAACCATACCGTCTAAGAATGCTCTAAATTTCAGTCATTATAATTAGTGCGTCGAAACCTATTTTATGTTAAGTAGGGGTAACGCCTGTTATGTTAGAAAACCCAAATCCACTGTTATGTCTTTACGCGTAACAAACATGGGTTATTAAATATGTGTAGTACATTACCGTTAGGCTAATTGACAAACCTATAAATCAGTTTTATCGAGTGAGTTTAGACAGTACGCATGCCTATTTATGCAATTCTACTGATAATAATTTAGTAGCATTGTTGTTTAACGAAAATATGGCAGTGAAAAATTGAATGTGATTTTTCCCTGTCATGGTAGGCATTCTGACTCATGGAGACCGTATCATTGCAATATCATCCACTTTGCAATTTTAACAAAGAGAAATAGAGACCTTTTACTATGCGCTTTGATCCTCTGAAGAAAATAAGTGCAGAGGCTAAATTTGAGGGTATTTTTTGAATAATGGAAAAGTGCTAATGATAATATGAATTCCAAAGTAGGAATAACAGCTTAACCGTTAACATAAATTAAATGAAACTTAGAAAATAGGAATAAAGACCATAAAATTGCCTCAAAATAAGTCGTTTAGGTGTTTATTGTAAAGCTTAAAGGCTGAATAAAGTTGTTAAAAAAAGCCATGAAATACCCGGAATACCAGGCGTTTATACATTGAATTTAAAACACGAGAAATCAGTGGAAATATCAAAGTGCTATAGAACCAATGCCGATGCTACATTAGGTACAGGAAATGTAGGTATTAAATCCTTCATAAATTCTATCACACCAAAATACATACATAAAATTGAGGCTAGGCTACTGAAGCAGTCGAATAATTTCGTATATATGCATATATATATAATTAGAGTTTCTTTAATGACACTGGGAAAAAGCCTGTGGGATAACGTAGGTCATGCACAGCTTCAGTTCACACAGCAAGGCAGTTATCAAGAATGCCGACATGGTTGATGACATGCAGCAGCGGGCAGTTGACTGTGCTCAAGTTGCCATGGAAAAATACAGCATTGAGAAGGACGTCGCCGCACACATCAAAAAGGAATTTGATAGGCTATACGCTCCCACTTGGCACTGTGTCGTCGGTCGTAACTTTGGCAGGTAAGATCTCATACCCACTATTCCTTCAATGCTTTTTATTACATCCAGTTAACATACTCCTTTCTCCAAATGCCTCACTCCTCTTCCTTCCTTGTTTTAGCTATGTAACTCACGAGAGCAAGCACTTCATCTACTTCTATATGGGTCAGGTCGCGATTCTTCTCTTCAAATCTGGTTAAAATACGTCTGGAAGAAATAAACCCTCCAATTAGGATAAACTGTACCTTTGCTTCTGTAATCTTCTCATAAAAAAGCAATCTTGTGAGAATTGTTGTTAAAGGTTTTGTGGGTTGCGCATCTGTATTGTGTAATTAAATGGGAAAGGATTCTTTTCACCATAAAATAATAAAGCCGAGGTAACCAAACATTGCTTTATTGTATCCTTTTTTCACCTGTTAGCTCACTTGGAGTGATTTCATGAGAATAGAACATATTGACACCTCAAAGAAATCAGCTCTGGACTATTGAGGAGGTCCCAATATCAGTGTATTAGGTAGAAGTGATTAAGGATTTAAGGTCAAGCAAGTAAAGTAAAAAGACCACTTAAAATTTCGTGACTCTAAATAGGTGAATTAAGAGGTCTTAATATTCTCCTAATATTCACCTTTATTGCGGAAGATATGGCCAAACGGATGATCCCCTCTTACAGAGACGCTTCATAAAAAAAAAGAACAATTTCCTCACTCATCCTTTCTGCACATCCGTAATTAAGCTAAACAACAGAATAAATGTTATTTGGATTTTTGGGTGACTTCAAGATGAAAAATTTGAAGACCCACTGAAAAATTTGCCCAAGTGATCGCTATTGAAGGGACAAAGGTACTAGCCTTAAAGATACTTCTTTCTTTTTTTAATTTGTAACGTAAGCAAACTTACTTAAGAGAAAAAAGAGTCGGCCTTGCAGAGGCGACTCAAAGACGGACTTCATACGATTTTGGAGGGTTTAAAATCATGCAATTTACTTTGGAAATTTAATGAAAACACTGATGCAATGCATTAAGTTTCACATGCTTTCCACCAGTGCCTCACCCAGTCCCATAATCCTCAATCAACTTCTGAGGCTAAGCTACTGACACAATTGCCTCATTTGACACAGCATCCAATTGTAT